GATGGAAAGACAATGGGCAACTACTCCCTAGTGGGAAGCCAAGTTATTAACTCTGCATTGGTCTGTGTAAGGTGAGCAGATTATCCGTTTATAATTTATTCTTCTGCTTGGATCCTGGTAATATTTTCACTGTCACAGAACAGCTTTAGTAAGGCAGGCTCCCCAAAGGCTATGGGGCTGAATGGGTGCCCAAAGTCACTTCTGGAAGTTATTTTAGCAATACAACTTGTCCTTGATGCATAAAATTGAAGGGTCTTTGTAAATGGTGCAGCAAAAGGAATCTGGGACCATAAAAGTGCAGGAGAGAATTACAGTCCAATATCAGTAGAGCATAGCAAGCTACATGTAGGCTCCATACAACACGTGCACTACTGCATTAGTGTTTAAGATTCATTTGTCTGATTTACACCAGTCCATTCAGTTCTGTCAGGGATTTCAGTCACTGCTGTTTGGAATAACCTAGGGTTAGAATCCAAGTCCTAAGAAATGAGCAATATAGAAAGTCCTAAATCTTTGCTACAGCAAGTGAACATTGCATCTGGAATGCCCAATATATTAGCATTACCTACACAGAAGATGAACTGGCAAAAGGAAGCACTGCTGTGATATAATTTGTAGCAGCAAAGCAGATTGAAGGTAAATGAGGGTCTGTGCCCATCATGTAGACCAGAAAAAAAACCACATTTTACATTTCACATTTTCATCAAGACTTTCATCACAAAAAGTGCTTCATATTCTTAAAAAATACAGCATAGTAAAGTGCAGACCCAGGGCTGTGGAAAAAGCAACAGGAGAATTTTGGTAAATTCCTACACTCACAGAAAATACTATGGAATTCTTAACACCCACAAAACCACCCGTTATTTAAGGACTTCAATCCAAAGCACACAATGTACCCGAGACAGGCAAATTTAATAAGTTATTAAGGCCTCTAGACATATAGCTACATGGAGTCTCCAACAGTCCTACAGCTATGCTGTTGTCTCTTTCACCTCTTTGGCAGGTTAGGACACTCAGCCTTTAGGAAGTTGGAGTCTGTCCCACAGAAAAGAGGTGACAAAGCAAAGGGCTGCATATTTGGCTTTTATTCACCCTAGCACAGCCACAATGAAGCAATGGTAGCAAAGCCCATCCTCAAGTCTACAATTCCCCAAAGGCGTCTGCTGGACTAAGATCAACAATACTCTCCTAAATCAGGTCTGCTTCAAGGGTACAGGGAGAGCTGGAAGGTCACTTCGTTGCCACTCCTTCCTCTGCCAGCATAGGTGGTCTTGTGGTCAACTGCCTCAACCTATGGAGAAGGTTCCTTGTGCTAAATGGCAAATTGGACCCTACAGCTCTCGGTGGAAATTCTGTCTGAAGCTGCTGCTGCATTTAAATTATGGGGTTTATTATTATTAAACAGTCAATAGAGCAGTCTGTGCTATTCTGCTACTGAAGACTTCTCCATCTTTGGACCTTCTCTGCTGTCTGTGCACCACAGAATTTCACCTGTAGTGTTCTGTGTTACTACCACGCTGAGCAAGACAGTATGGAACAGTCTAGTATCAGGCACATGGTCAACAAATCAAACCGGTGGAAGAACTAGAACAGCAGTTCTTAGTGTTACATGTATTTTTAACAATACTCTCACAGAAGCCTTGTCACCTTTCCCCATATCCCTCTTACAATTGCAGTACATTCCTATACTGCACTGTTACTGGCACCTTTGTTAACTAGGTGTACTTGATTTCAAGGGATGTTGAAAAGCATGTCAGAATGACTGAAACTTCAGAAGTTTAGTAACAGTCTGCACTGAATTGTTAATTAGAACAGATTGAGTCAGACAGAAGCACACCATAAACAAACTAATTAGTATCAATGAGTACATCAGGGCAGGTCTATGGAAGCAGCACTCCATCACTGGCTTCTAACAAGTTAGCACCCGTTTGTTACCTCTTGGCTAATGTCCTTTTGAAAAGACATTAAACCATCTGCAGGCAGACCAGAAGTCGCACACTAACAGAACACAAAGATCCACTTTTCCTGTCATCCTGTTATCATAATTGGCTCATTCTTACCACACTGTCCAATTCAGTCCAGCTACAAAGCCAGTTCTCATTTAGGATCCTCTATATGTAGAATAAACATGTCTTTTGCAGATTATATACCCTCAGGGCTGTCACTGGACTGGCAGTTGGTAAAACAGCAGTTTCCTTAAAAGGGCTGAGGAATGCCTTGTGCCCCATTCAGAATTAAGATAGACAGTTTTAATGCAGAACAACATATGGGCATGAAAGATTCCAGAGGGAATGTGAGAAGAGGAAGAATTAGGACAAGCCATTCAGTTTGTCAGCCTGCACTAACCATTGTCATTTAAATACAGCGAGTCAAGAAAACAGGATTCCCTTAGACATCGCCCACACAGATTCCCCAGATGCAGCCCTGCAGAAGAACTGTACATAATTTTGCTTTTTGCAAGAAGAGAATAAGGAAGTGCAATATACCACAAATTTATGAGAGAGTCCAGAACAGGCTTAGTTTAATCAGATTTCAATAGTTTAGTTAACCGGAGGCAACCAATGCAGGAAGAATTTTGGCCACTTTCACAGAAACAGAAATATTCATTTATGACAGGAGGGGTTACAAAAATAACTATGAATTTTAGAGGACTATAAAAGCCTTATGCTTTTGGACATAATTCAACCTTTAATGGGGGTTAGGGATACATTCCGTCTGGCAGGAAAATGGGCATATCATTCCACAGTTCTCTTCTTCAGGATTTCTTGTATCCTACTCTGAAACAGTGGACATTGGCTAAAATTAAAGCAGTGCTAACAGACTACAAGGACTATTGCCTGACCCATTTGAGCAATCCCTATCCTCTGGAATAATTCACATAATCCCATTCCCAATCACCCATGATTCCTGGTTTTAACTTTCTGTATACATGCATGGTCTCACTTTAAGTAGCAGGTGTATGTAGACGTGAACAGAAGAATTAAACAACGTAATGGTAACCACACAGTCAGCAATCATTTGTTCCCATGCTCCCTGTTCACCCATACACACGGAAGAATTTAAGGCAATAATATAAACCAAAAGGAACCCATATGCCACAACGCTTTTGGAGGCTGTCTATTAAATCCATTCCACACCCCAGGGCTACTTGGAATTTTATGACCGCAAGCTGATTTCTGCACTTGAAAAGCACAAGCCCACATCCAACTTTGGAATTTCTAAGCAGTACAGTATTTATGGCTTACAGGATTCCCTGCTGTCAAGGGCAGCAGTGTACAGGTTCTTCAGTTTTTTTTCATAATTCAAGGAAAGACCACCACAGATGCAGACATAGTTACGGTTTGGATTTTATAACTTGCTTTTGAAGTGTTCCACATAAGGCCCACCCACTATTTCTTATGTAACAGAACTTGCTTTGATGTAGTAGAAGTTCTAACAGTGCAAGCAGTATAGGATCAGGTGCCTATTTTTTAAAAACGGAGAGGTTTGCTATAGTGGTAAGTTTACATTGCAAAGGAACTGGCAGGCCCAGTAATGATCACTTCTTTTAGAGCCACTGAACTTCAATAAAATGTCATCCTTCCCCAGACTTAGGAACAGAAGATAGGAAAGGTAGGCAACCACATCATATAATACCTTTCATCAACTGGTCTAGATCCACCTTGAAACCTCTTCAAGTTTCTCTCTCCACTATTCTTATTGTTTCAGCACTTCACCCCTGTGCTGTTGTTCCAATTTCCAGCCTAAATTTGTTCCATGGGAACAAAATAATATTATATTAAAACTGATTCCCAAACACTGAGCTAATGGAAGCTGTGGGTGCTGAGTATCCTGATTATCAAGCCACCTAATTAGGGTTTTAGGTACTGAATTCTGAGCATTATGACTGAAGTGCATTGTCTAAGAACAAGCAAGGTTTTTTGAGTCAATGTGATATCTTTTATTAGACCAACTGAGTAGTCGGAAAAAAGTTCTTGGCAAGCTTTTTGGCACAGACACCCTTCTTCAGGCATAGGGAGTCTCTGCTGGTCTGAGACTCCAAGAACAGGCAGTGGCATAGTCAAGCTTAGAACTCCAGGGCATTTATAGACGTGCTCCGGGAAGCAGGGCGCTTGAACTAGCGCAGCTCCAAGAACTGCGCTAATTAGAAGTGCCTGGAGTGTCACGTGCATCAGCATCCCCATACTGAAAAATGGTGGCTGGGCGCTTTGAACTAAAGCTCATCAAACCAGCTTTAGTTTGACTCGCTCCGCCACCATTTGTCAGCACGGGGACACTAATACACATGATGCTAGAGTCTGCTGGAGCACAGTATTATCACACTCCAGCAGACTCAATTAATTGAATCTGCTTTGATGTGCTGTAATTACAGCATGATAGAGCAGCCTCTCTGCATGTGTATAGGAGCCCCCAGACTGTAGTTTCCAGCATTCATCCACCTGGGATACAGACAGAAGGAACAACTGCATCAATATCAAACTGCATCAATATCAAAACAGAAGCATAACTAAGAGGGGAGCAGAAAAAGTTACTGCTGCTGTAACTAGCAGCTAATCACTGCCACCACTGTGCAGTCCAGCAGCCACTGCCCCATGCAGTGAGCCATTGCTCAGAGCACAGAGCTGCTGCCCTGCCCTGTTACATCTCTGTCCAAAGATGCTGCTACAAGCCGTTATGATCCAACTGTTACATCCCAGGGCTTCTATGGTGATACAAGTGTAGCAAAGCTATTTCAACTTTAACCCAGTTTCATTCTGGCTTAAGGTTTCAGCAATTTAACCAACATGTATCACTACAGGATCATGCAGACATATAAGGTAACAGTTGGTGTATGCTCTCAAGCTATAGCTCCCCCTCCCCTTTAAATGCAGTTAAAAGGTATGCTTGTATACAGCCTCCACCCCACTATTTCTCATGTAAAAGAGAAAAAAAAAGGCATTTTCAATAAAATGTTAAGCATTATAGAAAAGCTGTGACTGCAAGTGAAAATACACTCTTACCTGTGGTCTTCATCTCTGCTCTGCAGGAAAAGAAAGAAACAAAACTGAGTGTTAGGTTCAGCACTTTAAAACCTTGGATTTTTTTCCTTCCCCAAACACACACAGACATTTTAGTAAGCTATGTATTATGGCAGATCCAGCGCACGCTGTCTTTAAATGTAGGAGAGTGCATATATTTCTATTTGGTGAGGTACAGTATGAATTAGAAGCTCAACTTGACCAAAGGCCAATAAGAACAGGTCAATTTTTACTATTTGGCATAGGCAGCTCAACAATAAACAATCAAGTCACTTTCCAACAGGAGAAATGCTTTAACACCCTTTATCCCCAATTCACCTCATTTATAGCAACAGAGAATACTAATGCCATCTTGTCACTTGCTACAGGGAGAGTAGGATCAGATACCCAATGTGAATGGAAGCAGGTGGTGTATAAATTGCACAAGGACCTAATGACAGCTAGTATCTCAGTCTACATTTCTTCATGCAGTGGAGGTTAAATAGCTGCATAGACTGCAAAACACATTGGACTCAATTGTCATCTTACACACAGTGGTATGATAAGAAATACAGAGAACTTAATGTGGTTTAAGAAGAGAATCACTTTTCATTACAGCTATTCATTTTGTACAAAGCATTCAGACTATCTACATCAGATGTTTTATACAGCAAAGGACACTGCAACTGCAATCACAGATCCTATGTAGAGTGTGGGAATACTGCAATGGGGACATACACGCCACCTCCTTCCTCCTCAGCCCCACTGAACTCTCCTAGAGAAAGGCATGAGAAAGAGCACTGTGGAAAGCAGACTTTGATTTCTGATTACTTGAACAGTCTGATAGGAAACAATATATTAACTGAAGCAGTTATGCAATTTAATATGCTTTACATAACTAGGCAACTAAACCTGCATACAGCATAGATAAAACCTCAGTACGTCCACAGATGTTGAAGGCAAAGAATGTATAGGACAGCTGACACTTCATGGATAAAAATGATTGGTATTATATTTAGGTGGATCTATTTCTAGATAATTTTGGTCTTTATATGCAAATGCCCATTCTTAAGCAGAGACTGTGTGGAACACCCCTACTGCTCATCCCCCCCAATAAAGTCACAATTCTCTACTGTGGCAAGGTGAATCCCGCTGAATTTCATTATGGTAAAGTGAATCCTGGCTGGATTTGGTTGCTCTCCCTACTATCTGCCATCTGTATCTATTTAATGTCACCAACTGATCACTGGATTGCTGATGCAGACTTTGGCAGTTCTCTCTGCACTTGACATTGACATGTATATCAATCAGCCGTCCAATTCCAATGAGGGAAAAGTTCAGTGATCAGACTTAAAACTAGTCTAAAAAGTGATCAGACTTGAAACTAGTCTAAAAAGCAAAAAACATGCAAATTCCTTTTCCTAAATAACAAATCCCACTTTAGATTTGTAAGTGAGAGAATTCTAAAAATCTAATTACTTTTCAGTTTTTATGCAGTTTCTCTTTTCCTTTTATTTCTCTCTGCTTAGATAAGAAAGAGACTATCACCTTATTTTTTGTTTATAGTTCAGTCTCCTAGCTGTTTGTCTTCTAGGTACTCCAATTTTACAGCCACATAAGGACAATCAGAATCAGGTTTACAGTCAATTTCACTTTTATGCTATTTTGTACTAACAAAATGAGACAAATGTTTGGGTTACAGTTGTCACATAGACAGGTTTATTCATTTAAAGAGACTCAAGAATGAACAAAAAAAACCCCAACCACAAAACTTCAGTAGAATTTGAGTATTCAAAAGGAAAAGTGGGGCAGTTCACTTTCACTTCTACATTTAGGCATGGAGTGTCATAGGTAAACTCAGTCACAGCATTGGCAAAAGTCATGTTGTAGCATAAGGGAATCCAAATGTAAATTTCTGGAACACAATGGGGCAGCTTAATTGCTGGTGTAACTGTACTGGAGTCCCTGGAGTTTAAGCAGGTACTGGTTTTCTCCTTTGTTTCTGCCCCTGATAAGGCTGTGTAAGCTGATTCACTTCAACAGGGTTACAAAATTGTAGCCAACATCAAAGTTTGGCTCACTGGCTTTGATGCACCACTGCCTTACACCTTCTTTAGTTGCAGACAACTATAAAAAGCAAGTGTGAACTGTCATAACCCAAGGGTATGATTTTGTATGTGCTTCGGCACTGCAGAATTACTTCCCGCCACGAGGAGCTTTCTTTGCACGGTGCAATTCTCAGTTGCAAAGAGAAAACCCCAGTGCAAAGGAGTTCCCGCCATTTGCATGCAAATTTGTTCCCCACTATTGGCCAGCTCTAAATTATTCCCACGTGGCGGCTAGCAATTGGCTTGCTAGCCGTATAAGAGGCTTGAGTGGTTTCCGTCCAAGTTGGAGATCTCCGAGAATCTCAGGAGGATCCTGAGAATCCCGATTCCGAGAATTCTGGGAGAAATCCGAGAGAATTCCGGCAAGGAGTCCATGATCACCTCGTGGATTTCTACGTAAATCTCGGACCGACTGGTAGCCTGATCAACTACTAAGAATCTCTCCCCGTCGCCGCCTAATCCCTCGACGTACCCTTCCCTGCGCGCTTTCATTCCACGGAGCCTAGCAAACTTTGTGTGCGTGTGTGTGTGTGTGTGTGTGTGTGTGTGTGTGTGTGTGTGTGTGTGTGTGTGTGTGTGTGTGTGTGTGTGTGTGTATATATATATATATCCAGAGCTCTTTCCGAGTTATTTCAAGAGGCTCGAGTTTTTCTACGGGTCTTGTTCGTACGAGTTTTGTAACTGCAATGTAAGTGAAGTTTTCTTCTGCCTGCACCGCGACCATCTACGGTGTAAGTAAAATAATCTTTAATCAACCACTACGTGTCCGTGCCTAATTCTAGTCCGCCAGCCTGCATTCCCCGACCCATGTGCCAGGGCTGCTGGCCACAGTCCGCCGCGCGCCCCCGAAAGCCTCGGACCGCTCCCGGCCCGCACATGAACTACCAAATTTGAATGTCACCATTTTACATCTGCTTTTTACACGCGTGTTCTTAGGCAAAAGGTAACTTAGTCTCCTCTGAGTTACCTATATCCTGGAGTTGCCCAAATTTGCCAGGGTACTGCAGAGTTAGAGTACCCGCAGTGGTCCTCTTAACTCCCTACTGCACATTTCTTTCCCCACAGTTCCCAGGAAGAAGAGAACAGTGGAAGAGCAGCTCACTCCAGTCCCATTTTGCAGATCACCTTATCAACCTGCCATGTCCAGGTCTTGCTCTATACCAGCTGAGATAGTTCCTTTATGTTGTTTAGATGGTGCAAAGAGATGTTAGTGTAACAGAGAAACCAGTCCACTCTGCACACCTGGAATGCATAAAATTCAAGGCAGTTCCATTCATTTCTTAATTATTTGTACTGTCATGGACCAGGGATCCATTGTGTTTCACAGAAGGTCTCCAAAGTCTGGTTCAAAAAGTATAGGAAGCTTCATAAGTGAAACTGGGACACCTTGCTTATCAGCTGACACAGCTGCTTGCTGTACAAACTCTCATTTAAGGACTTCCCTTCAAGTGCAGAATCTCTCTATACTAGTATAGAATTAGCTGTGATCAAGATTTAACACTATTCCTCTTATGGCTGGAGAAACAATCTCCTCATGGTACCACAGTCAAAGGGATTTCTGTGGCAACTCACTGAATAATGGAAAAAGCAGCTGCAAAACAGTAACTGAGCAAAGACTACAGAGATATCAATAGTGACTCAATTGCATTTCAATCTATCTATAAAAGTGTCTGCAGTTCCCTTTATGTTGCAGGTGAATCAAAAGATATTGAGCAGAATTAATCTATCCCCAGAGTATTAAAAATGTTTAAGCTGCAGTGCATACCTGTTGGGGATCTTTCCAACTTGAGTTTTCCCTGCTGTAACTCCAGTGAAATAGCTGCAGTTTCATTTGGGCTGAATGTCACCTATTGTCTATGAAGTCAGTTTAAAAGAATACTTATATTGATTGAAGAACCAGACATCAAGCACATGAGCCTTAAAAAGGTGTTCAAGCACTTTGGTACAGGGACCATTTTCTCAAGTGTCCCTACAGTGCATAGCACAATGGCACTCTGATCTTATTTGGGGTCCTAAAATCAATACTGTAATAAAAACAAGATCCTGCAATGGAATCATAGATACTTCAACAAGTAAACATGTATTTGATGCAATTAATGCTGGTTTAAATTATTACTCAGGAACTCAGAACACTGAAGCCTTGAACTGGCTCATGTATACCAATTTACCATATCATTACACGGTCTGACCAGGTCATCTTGCAATGAATACTAAACCTACAAACAGCGAGAGTTTCATGAAGCCTTTACTGTGAAAAAGACAGAGGAAAACATAAATTTAGTGGGAAAAGTTATCAACAAGGGACACGCAAATTGGTTTTGGGGGAAAAAATGTGAACAAAAAACCCACTTTGGGCTTTTTGATCTTTTTATACAGATCAAAAAATATACTGCTTCAGGTTTGTTTTTTTTAATGTGTAGACATGCTTCTCCCCTCTCTCACATAATGAGTTGTCTTTTAAATCTTTGTGCTTCTGGATTCAGATCAGGACTATAAGACTAGAAAGAGAAATACCAGTTGTCATTTAATATTTGTAGTACACGTGAACGTACTAAGGGGTCTGGCTTTAGATGAATTTTGGGTAGTTGCTTATACAAACCCACACTCTGACTATTGGATAGTTTAGTTGATATGAGAAAAGCAGCAAACAGCAGAGAGGAGAGGGAGATGTATGACATTTTCCTCACTAAGTAAACAAATTCTAGGAGAGGAGAGGAAAGCAAACTAAGTGTAAAGTTGGTGTGTTTGGGAAAGGAGGTAGTGTGTGTGTGTGTATTATAATATTATAATTAAAATACAATTATAACACACACACGTACACACACACACACCAGGTTTAAAGAAAAATGTTATTCTCTTCAGGATGAACAATGGAAATACAACCTTTCCTGTATAAGACTTGGGCAGTATGATTATTATAAGTCAAGTTGGTTCAGTGGTTAAAGCCCTCTCTTTTCACTGCTCCTTGAAAAAAGTATATAGTGTGAAGTCTTTTTGCTTTTGTGAAGTATTGCTTTGTTTTACTAGCAATGACCATTCTCTGTTATTTGGTCCTGTTATCCAGCATAGTGAGTCTACCATGAATTTTAGTATTATGAGGCTGGAGTCTTCAGAGTTTGGTAATGGATCTCTCGTCACATGCTCAGATTTATGAAATCTGGAATTTTTTTAGTCACCCCAATTTATTTAGCTATGAACTCCTTGGGCCCAATTTTCTTCTCACTTTATTCTAGATTTACACCAGTATGAAAGGAGACCTAGATCCTTTAGACCGACTCTTCCTTGCGAGTTTTCAGATATACAATTATATTGTATTGTAGCATTAATATGCCTACCTGTTCTACAAAGAACTACAACATAATGACAGTTCAGTCCTGGTGACTTCACAATGTGCAACGAACCCAAATTCCATGGCTCAGTCCCTCCGTCAGGTATGTTATGCATATCAGGAACATGGAGACTGCTTCTCTGGTCTACGCTATACTCACTCTACCCAAGACCCAGGAAGGGTAAGATGTAGCTTAAATAGGAACACAAACCCTGCGAGATCTACATGTGAGTTCTGAACAAAACAGGGAATGCCACTGACTTAGAGGCTTTGTTTTCAACATGAATGCAAATGTATATCTACAATGGTCTCATTTTGCAAAACGGGTATCCCAAAAGAAGGGATTCAGGTCAGAACTCTGGCTGGTCAGGGCTCTGTGGTAACCCCACAGGCATCTACTTAATCAGCCATATTACAAGAATGTTAAAACGCTCCTTGATGGCTTGTAAAGCTGCAGCAGACTTAGAGACTTGGAGCTGCGGCACACCAGAAAGCCACTATTAAGTTGTTAAAGACATTTGGCTTTGTGCTCCTCTTAACCGTTTAGAGCATGTGGGTATCTAATGTAACCACACAACCCATCATGTATTATTACTCACATCTTGGCTTACCACCTTGGGCATTCAGTGGCATTTATAGACATTTTTAACACTGGCATATGTAATAGGAAAGACTCCTTTTTTGAATCTATCACAATGCTTTGCTGCCTCCTGCCAGAACCACAGCTGTTCTTAGTTGTTACCTCAGGCTTGAGCAAGGCTAGCTCACTGAAGATGTTCAGCTGCCTCTGAATCTCTACCATCTCGGTCATCAGCTTTGCCATGTGGACATTGATATCAGCCAGCACCTCAGTCACATGAGCAGTGGCCACTGCTTCTTGGAGGTCCACCAGGTGGAGAGCTTTCTGCTCTTCCTCACAGATCAGCTGCCGTACTTTA